TAATATGCTATCGTGTGTTCCGAGCTGCAGAGAGCCCGGGCTCCAGCTGATGGAATGGCAGGATCCGGCAGATTAAAGGCCACACATGCAGACTCCTGTCTCCATGTAAACCAGATACTGAAGGGGTCGAACTGTACATAAAAACTGACCATTTCTGGACATTACAAGTGTCATCACTCACTTTGGTCTGGTCCACACGCCGTCTCTTTACCGGTGGGTCTCCTTCCTCAGTAGGTGACGTGAAGCTCCAACATCTGAGCGTTCTGTGTTCCTTAGACGAGAAGAAAAGTAACATTAGCAAGCTGGCTAAATTATTTTTACTAGCATCTCAAGGCCTTGGAGAAGCAGATCTTCACTTACCTAAACATCAGACCAGTTTGTCCCAGCTGAGCTCATCAGGGCTTTGGTCTGACAGCCTGTCAGTGAAACACGGCTCCAGCCTTCCGGATGTGGACTCTAAAAAGCAAAGGAGCATTTTTACATTTGTTTTAATTATCTTACAGCTGATTTTATCAGCTTCTGACGCTCACGCTCATACAGACGAGTGTCGGTGAGCTTTGCTGCATCTGACTGATGCAGAGTTAGTTTTTACATCTGCAGTGAGACAAACGCTAACCTCACTTCACTCAGAGATCGTTCTTTAAAACTCGTATTAAATCCACTGTGTTGACGCACTTTAACGACTTTGTCACGCTGCATTTTAGCTGATATGGGACTTTATTTACTGGATGCTAGGATGACATCACACTCGCGTAGAAGAACACACAGGCTCTCTGCTGTGGAAGGTTATCTCATCTGGTGTAAAAAAGGCGTTCATCAGAATTTCCAGATCGTTTTATTCCACAAAAATCAGCAGAATCCACATTTATCTGGGTGCTAACCTTACTAGCATTTTGTGCTAGCATTAGCAGGTCAGATGCTAATGCTATAGTGCTGCTAATGCCCGAAAATCTAAAGTAAAGTTTGCCGACGTTCCAAAATTAATATGAAGCTTACCGCTTTGCTGCTGTGTCCCGTCGCTGCCACATTCAGAAGGAAATGACTCCTTTTAGATAGATGAAGCCCTCGGTACTAGCCACTAGCCTGGCAGCCGTATGACGAGATGAGATGGAGCAAGGACCAACACACACACACACACACACACACACACACACACACACACACACACACACACACACACACACAGCTTTCTACTTCTGTGTTTTTTCAGCAGTAGTCAGCAGCTTCTGGGTTTCAAACACTGCCACACCGCCCTTCCTTATAACGAGGAACGGTTCTGAGCTGTGTGGCTAAAATAACCAGACGTTCTGCGTTCTTCATATTGGACTACAAAAGAATCTTAGCCAGAAGGAAAAAATGGCGGATTGTCTCTGTGCTTAGCCGGATGTCCAGGACCGTTCTTGGTGGTTATCGTGACGACATAGTCACAAGATTTATTACACAAATATAAAAACTGAACAGGTGGAAAGAATGACCAAAACTATATAATAAAATATCTAAATAGCACCTCTAGTGTATTATATAAGGCCTTTTGCACACTTAGACGCTTAAAATGCGAAACACACTGCATTAAAGGATAAAGAAGTGAGTTGTTCATGATATGTCTCCTTTAATGATTTTAACCATCAGGCTTCACTTTAATTTACTATACACTTGAGTCTTTGAGGACAAAAACATCCACGGGTTAAAATGGCTATAAAAAAAGTATACTATGTATACAGTTTTAATAGATCTGTTAAACAACTTCATTCCTGCTCAAACATATAAAAACTCCCAGTATTTTGAGGATTTTAACTCTTCAAATGCCAGTTTGATTACTCAAATTCATCACTGTAATTTATGGGGGAAAAAAACACCACAAAAATTGAGTTATTTTCCAAAAAAACTACTTTTTCTTCGTAGGACATTCATTATTAAAATTTTTGCATCAATAGTTTCTGTGTAGCAACAGATTCAAAAGTTAGCATCCTCTTGTGACCTTAGTGGACAAAAACATTCCAGTGACTTCCATTCAAAACACAGTTAGTTTGTGATCCTGTAACATCTGCAACAAATAATCATGCTTATTATAATATTAGGGCTTCATTTTGGAGAAAAGTAGTCAAGTGTATCATTTTTACTGTTCACCACCAAATGCAGTCATTTCACCATATGTGGACTCTACACATTTCTTGAGATACTGTTCATTTTATTATATATTTTACTGTGTAAATCAAGCTTTTTTTATATGTTTTAGAGAGCTGACATCCATACTGAAGCCCAATTCCTTGTAAATGCAATTTTTACTTGGCCAATAAATCTGAATCTGTTTGCATTGAAGTCAAAAGGTCTCAACCTCACACACACACACGCTGCCACCTTACAGCTTAACAATCACATCACATGTCTGTTCAGTTCAGTTTAGTTTCTTCTTCATGGTCAGTTACCAAAAGGACACTTTTTACAGAAATGCACTCTTCTGTTGCTGCCACTCCTGCTGGCTGGAGCTACCACGTTCTTTTTACAGGGTATCCGCGGGTCCTTAAAAAGTCTTAAATTAGCCAATTTAAGGCCTTTAAAATCCTTTAAAATGACAAAAAAAATCCTTAAATAGTTTCCAAAGATCTTAAATTACCAAAGACCCAATAAACAAGATTCTTTTATTTCTATAAAATTTTCATGAATTTCTAGTGTTCAGCATTTTTTGTGTATGTTGTTGGCGTAAGCAGAATCGTACACATTCAGTTGGTTGTGGAAGGGGGTTATTTTTAGATGAGCACATTAGCTGGTTAAGCTAGTGGGAGTTTGCATCATGGGGAGGTGCAAGTTTAACGGTAACTGGATGGCTAATCCCACGTTTGCGACATGTTAGCACCGGTTCCAGGCAATAGCTGGAAATTATAGCTTAAATTTAATTAAAAAAAATAGCTTAAATTTGGTCAAAGTGGCCTTAAAAAGTCTTAAAACGTCTTAAATTTGGCTCCTTTAAACCTGCAGATACCCTGTATTAGCGACTCCTGCTGTCTACAGAGAGAAGAGCAGGAACAAACGTATCGGTACAAAAACCAAAGGTCTAAATCAACAAAACCTTCTTGTGTGTCTAACTCCCGAGTTTCATGGAGGCTTTAGCTGCTTGTGCACATTCAGATAGGATCAGTGGGGGTGCATGGAGGTGCAGATCATTTCAGCAAGAGACCATATTACATATTACTAACTGTTTTTTGACATTAGAGTTTTGACGTGTTGACAGAAATGGGGAAATCTAATGTTTATTTTGTCAACAGAAAGACACTGAGGATGAAATTCGAGAGATCATAAGGAACAATCTCCATTTACAAGGGAAGGTAGGAACACCTGGCACAATCAAATGCAGAGTAAAGCAATTAACGTTTATTTACTGGTTTTATCAGACTTATTTACCGTGGTGACGGTACTTTTCACTATTAAACTCTGCGTGTCTCTTGTGCAGTTGGAGGATCCAGGTATTCGCTGGCAGATGGCTTTGTACAGAGACTTTCCTAAGAACTGTGAGGACACATCAGACCCAGAGAAGACCGTGGAGAGAGTTGTGGACATCGCACACGTCCTCTTCCACCTGGACCAGGTCTCTACACTCATACATGTCACTGAGCAGATTGTGCTTTTGCAGAAAGAGGGATGCTTGTGATAGTTCTTTTGGAAGTTTGCAGAGATTTACAGCTCTGGCCTCTGTGCTGTGATCTGGTTTGTGTCTGCAGGTGGAACATCCTCAGCGCAGTAAGAAGGCTGTATGGCACAAACTGCTGTCCAAACAGAGAAAGAGAGCTGTTGTTGCTTGCTTCAGGATGGCGCCGCTCTATAACCTGCCCAGGTAACATCTCTACTCGCCTGTTTACCCATCAGTGTTGATTAATTAGATGGAGAGCATGACTTCTTTAAATGTCAGCTTTTAGCTGTGGCATGAAACAGGTAAATACAAATGTGCTGTTATAATTGATGGTTGCTCCATACAGTCTCCACACAATCATTTCAACTGAACCATCAGAGCAGGGGTCACCAACCTGGTGCCCTAGGAACCCAATGAGGGCTCTCGGGTCTGTTCTAAAAAGTAGCACAATCCACTGCTCAGCAGAATGGCAAGACATTTCTTTCTGCTGCTTTTTTTATCGCACTTTATATGATTAAAAAAGCTGCTAGCGAGGTGGAGGATAAGAACGAAATGAAGATTAGTCACTTCAAGACAGAACGTGTGAAATGAGAAGGCCACAAGTGGAACGGCAGTGTTATCGAGAGTAACGACCTGTATTTGTATAGCACCTTCTTAGGGTTCTACAATCCCCCAAAGAACTTCACAAGCGTCATTCACCCATTCACTCGCTGGTGGGGATGAGCTGCGATGTAGCTACAGCTGCCCTGGGGCACACTGACAGAGGCCAGGCCTGCCGAACACTGTCGCCTACCACTTCCACTGACCACCACCAGCAGACAAGTTGGGTTAAGTGTCTGGCCCAAGCTGGGATCGAACCTTCAACCTTCTGATTGTTGGACAACCCGCTCTACCTGGGGCGACGGTGGCACAGCAGTTAAGTGTTTGCCCCATAATCAGAAAGTTGCAGGTTAGAGCCCCGCTCAGTCTGCTGTGTCTTTGGGCCTTGCCTGCTGGTGGGTGTAGGGACGGAAGGCTTCAGGGTACGGCAGCCTCGCCTCTGTCAGTGCGCCCCAGGGCAGCTGTGGCTACAGTGCTGTGAAATCCTTCCTGATTTCCTATTCTTTTGTTTGTCACACAAAATGTTTCCGACCATCAAACACATTTAAGCATTAGTCAAAGATAACTGAATGATGGTTTTTATTATTTAGGGAGAAAAGACATCCACACCTACATGGTCCTGTGTGAAAAAGTAATTGCCCCCTTGTTAAAAACAGCCTAACTGTGGTGTTTCACACCTGAGTTCAGTTTCTGTAGCCACCCCCAAGCCTGATTACTGCCACACCTGTTTCAGTCAAGAAATCACTTAAATATGAGCTGCCTGACACAGAGAAGTAGACCAAAAGCACCTCAAAAGCTAGACATCATGCCAAGATCCAAAGAAATTCAAGAACAAATGAAAACAAAAGTCACTGAGATCCATCAGTCTGGTAAAGGTTATAAAGCCATTTGTAAAGCTTTGGGACTCCAGCGAACCACAGTGAGAGCCATTATCCACAAATGGCAACAACATGGAACAGTGGTGACCCTTCCCAGGAGCGGGCGGCCCACCAAAACCACCCCAAGAGTGCAAATAAATACATAAACGTAAACATAAAAGTGTCATTGATAATCATGGCTGTATTTAACACAAATAGTTTTCAGGAATTATTTATAAATGTGTGTCTAGGCACCGGGCCGTAAACTTGTTCCTGCAAGGCTACGAGAAATCCTGGATCGAGGCAGAGGAGCACTACTTTGAGGACAAACTTATAGAAGATCTTGCTGTAAGACAACGTTTGATCAGAATCTATGACACACGGCACTCTAAGACCCAATATGTTAAGTGTGTGTGTGTGTGTGTGTGTGTGTGTGTGTGTGTGTGTGTGTGTGTGTGTGTGTGTGTGTGTGTGTGTGTGTTGCAGAAACCAGGTGAATGGCAGTCATCGGAGGAAGAGGAGGGAGTGAAACACATCGACCCTCTGCATCAGCTCATCCAGCTGTTCAGCAGAACGGCCCTCACTGAGAAATGGTCGGTTCCTTTGGTTGCAAAGAGAAGACCGCACAAGCTTGTTCAGTTTGGTTTGCTTGTCCTGTTCATTTGCGTGTTTTAACTTCCTGTCGACACACATTCCACCTTTAGCCTTTCAAAGGGGAGTTATGGTAAAGAGAGCTGTTCTGCATGTGTGTGTGTGTGCTTGGGTTCCCTGTTGCAGTAAACTGGATAAGGATAACCTCTACATGGCCTACGCTGACATCATGGCTAAGGTACTGGTATCAGTCTTATTGTATTTGGGAATCAGCTGAATTATCACGGTTTATTCTACAATACATTTTCTGTTCTTCATATTGTTTCTCTGTAACCATCCTCTCCTCCAGAGTTGCCACGATGAGGAAGATGAAGAAGGAGAAGTGAAGAGTTTTGAAGTAGGTGATCAGTCTTTGTTTGTGTCTTTCGTTCTCTGCTCTAATGTTGGAGTTGAACAAATAATTAGGACACTAACAGGCAGCTGATCAGGAACTGATGCGTCCCTTGCTGGATGAAATAGGAAAAGGAGATGGAGAAGCAGAAGTTGCTGTATCAACAGGCTCGATTGCATGATCGTGGAGCTGCTGAAATGGTGCTTCAAACTATCAGTGCAAGTAAAGGTAAGGTCAGTTTTATCAGCAACAAGTAATCTAACGTGCTGCAAATTAGATTTGAGTAGTCAGATTAAAGTTGTTTCCATTTTCCTACAAATAAATGGTTTTGACAGCAGTTGTGTTACACCAAATGTTAATGTCAGAGTTGATTAGTAGGAATGTGAATCTTACAACAACTCACGATTCAATTTGAGTCCGATTCTCGGGGTGACGATTCCATATGGAATCGATTCTCCATTAAAGTAATGTCCCAATCATCACTCTTAGTAACAATAAGTGTCAACTAGAGTGTAGACTAGTGTGTGTGTGTGTGTGTGTGTGTGTGTGTGTGTGTGTGGTCTGAAGAAGCAGGGAAAAAGAGATTACAATGTGAAACATCTTAAACTAAACAGGTTTTATAGCACCCAGTAGCACATATTCACATTTACCAGTACCATCGATCTCTGAACACAAATACATTAAATAGTCTTAACTAGCACCAATCATGCACGGTCCAGTCAGCATGAAACTACACACAAACACAAGATAACACCATCTAAACACCCTACAACAGCTTACTTTTTGGCTCACAGAACGCACACAGGATAATAAGACCGATAGGTTTTTGTCATATTTCAGAAGGTTGTAGTTCAGGAGCACACAGAGCGGTGGACTGGCCTATCTGGCATTCTGGCACTGTCCCGGGGGGCCGCTTACCCAAGTGGGCCGATGAAACGCCCCCTCACATTCAGCAGCATTGAGATGAGTCAGCAAGCAGCCCCCCACCACACACACACACACACACACCTGAGGGCCAACGGTTCATAAAAATACAAGGGCCTTGTCGTCCCAGTCCACCCCTGCTGACATGGATCTGCAATCTTGCGTGGATGGGGGCGCTTGTTGGTTCTTTGCTTAAAAAGGAAGTCCGGGTGGCCGGTCCGATGCGCCTCTTAGCATGCGGAGAACTGCAGAGAACTGTAGAGAACTCAGAGAACTGAACTAAGATGGCGTGGGACTGGTTTTATTCATCTGGATGTTTTGATTTCAGGTCGAATCAAAGTTGGCAGATTTATAAACACCACAGAGACTATGCCACGCTTCAGAAAGGAAGGTTCTGATTGGATCAGTAACAGCAATGTGTCGTGCGTTTACATTACGTGTCGTCAGGGTGTCTAGTGCAGCTAGATTAAAGTCATATTACTTATTAAAGCTTATTAATCATATTATTGTCATTTCACAGATCGGTCAACATTATATTATTGACTAACACTTTGTTTGATTAGCTTTATTAAAAATAGAGTTCTTTCATTTATTAAAAGGAAAGAGTCCTTTCTTCATTCTTCTCTTGGGCTGGAAAGGAAGCAGTTTAGAAGCAAATGCATGACCTTGAGGCGGTCTCATGCAGATTAGTTCTGTGTCAGAGGCATTTGAGGAGAGGGTAAATAACCTTCGGTGGAATAGCTCCGTCATCACGTTACACTAATAGATATGTTTTGTATTTATGGTCTCTTCTAGGTGAGATGGGCTCTATGGTTGCATCCACTCTAAAGCTAGGCATAGCCATCCTCAATGGAGGAAACTCAACTGTGCAGCAGGTAAGGCTACCCTAAGGTTTCTGTTTTAATAAAAATCTGTTCTGCAGCTACTCATTTTTGTTTCTTGTTGTATTTTCATTTACATACAACACATTTTTATTTACATTTACATCAATTAGCCCCAACAATGTTACAGAGCTACCTCCTGATCCACGGGGGCAGCAGTAGCTCAGGAGGTAGAGCGGGTTGTCAGCAATCGGAGGGTTGTAGGATCAATCGTAGGTCCTGGCAGAGAATGCTGAGGTTGTGCCCTTGGGCAAGGTTGTAAACCCGCCTTGCCTGCTGGTGGTGGTCGGAGGAACCAGTGGCGCCTATGCTCGGCAGCCTCGCCTCTGTCAGTGCTCCCCAGGGGAATTGTGGCTAGAGTGTAACTCATCACCACCAGGGTGTGAATGTGTGAATGACTGGTTGTGTTGTGAAGCTATATCAAATGCAGGACATTTATCATTTCCCTTTTGTGTCCTTTCACAGAAAATGTTGGATTATCTGAAAGACAAGAAGGATGTTGGCTTCTTTCAGAGTCTGGCTGGTCTAATGCAGTCATGCAGGTAACTACTAGTCTCTCCTGTTGATGTCTTATGATTAGAAATACTTGAGGGTAGATCTTCTCTACTTTAATGTGTTTTAAAATGTTGCAATGTCAATGGATTGCACCATCAAGGTTTAAATTTAAACTCCGTTAAAATCAGGGTTTAAATCTAAATTCAGTTGCTCCAAACTTTAAACCTAGAGTAAAACTGTTGTTGCATGTTGGCCAGGGTCAGTTCAAGACAGCAGGGTCTTTGTGTCCTCCTCAAGAACTAAACTTACCTTAAATCCTCTAATATTAGCCTGTATTTAATTAACTGCCGGGTATCATATTTTGGCCGGTGTCGGAGTCGGCGGAGGTGAATAATGGCCATTTTTTTATTGTGGCCGGGTGGAATGTGGTAACAAGCAAGTACGGGGGCGGTTGTGTCATCGTCTGACTTTTGATTTGCCTGTGATAGACCGCGAGGGTAACTTTAACCGTGCGGAGACGAAGAGGAGGCGAAAATTTGATATCAAGTTCAAAGAGAACGTGCTGATTATGCTGCAGAACACTATGGGGAGCAGTAGCAGGGGTTGTATGAACTAGTCACTAGTCGACTTCACCGCTCTATAGTGACTTTTTATGCCTGTCATCGACTAGTCGCTGTCACGTGATAATGACCGGCAAGATGCAGTCCTCGGAAAAGACAGCAGCCTGCTGTCAGCAGGTGACAAGCTCCTGCGCGTCGGGAGGCAACACGCTGTGCCAGAGCGTCGGTACCGACACCCGCCGTAAAACGGACATTTAACCAAATTGTGACCTTTACCCTCTTGCAATTTAACCTTCCCCTCACCCCCATCCTAACCTTAACCAGCGTGTGCATGCAAAGCTCTGATTGTTGACGCGCTCCAGACATCTGCATCCTGAGCACGGCCACAGTAACATTATCAAATCAGGTGTCGCCACCTCAAAAACTAATTTAACACGCGATCGTTCATGTCGGCTCATTTCCTTTTATGTTTTCTGTCTTTTATTCTTTTATTTGTGCCTGATGTTTTTCGCTGCTTTGGATCGGGGCGCATCACCTGTTTTGTCCTCGGTGACGCACCTGACTGATGCGGCTGGCGAGCACTCCGCTGTTTTAGCGGTCGGTAGATCTTTTAGAACTGCAGTTCAAAGGTAACTCATGAGGTGAATATATATGAACCCAGGTAGCAGTTTCTCTTTAGGATTGAGAGGAGATGCAGGAAGATAATAAACAGGCAGGACAGAAAAATAGTCAAATAAAAACAAGTAAGTAAGTAAGTAAAAGTATATTTATATAGCGCCTTTCACAGATATTAATCACAAAGCGCTGTACAACATGATAAAGATCAGGGCAAATACCTCTAACCAATAAAAACATCCGAAAAACAATAGCAGTGATAAAGTAGAAAATTAAATCATGAGTATAAACAAAGTGAAGGTGTGAACCCGAACAAAGCCATCTTTTTGAAACATTTAGGGAGGGAACGCCTGGATGAAAAAGTGAGTTTTTAGATGATTTTTAAAGACCTCTACAGTGTTAGAGAGACGGAGATTTGAAGTTAGTTTTTGTACCTGCTGGTTGCAACAAACAGACACCACTGAAGGTAATCAGAAGTGAGGAACAGAAAATGAAATAATTATTTTAATGTTTAGAGCAGCAGGAACTCCGAGAGGCTGCAGGCGCATCAGTGAGTTTGCAGCCGCTGCGCAGGGGGAGGGGGGAGAGGGCTGAAGCAGAAACTATCGTTGTTAAAAGAAATGTGTTTAACTTTGAAAATGTGGGCGCTATTTTAATTGTCAAAAACTCCAGCGAACCATTAGTTCATTTTGCTCAAATAGAAATAGAGGCCTGCCTCTAATTCTGGTCCTCCTTCCAATAAAGACCTGGAGCTTGATGAGCTTGAGTCAAATACAGGCCCGGGCCTGTATTAGAGGATTTACGGTATGAAGGTCGTGTTTGATAGGTAATTTTTCATTTATCCCATATTACCTTAAAGGACGACACACACAGAGAGAGAGAGATTATTTGTAATGTCCGTGAATCGCCATGCGAGAGCTGGGCGCAGAAACCCAGCCCCCAGTCTGCTCCAGCCTCAGCCTTCAGCCCCCACTCTGCCTACCCGCATCTCCACCAAAATGTTGGGTAATATTTAATCTCCATAACACTGGAACCTGAAATAAACACTCATGAGAACAAGGAAGACATTTTACCCTGAGTCCCCAAAATATGGAGAGTTAACGCAGAGGAACCTCCTCCGAGGCTTCCCCACGTCACTCCCATGTGTTCTCAGTTCGTCAGGGGCTTTATTCAGCAAAGGATGGAGAAGGCGGGGCCTTCTCAGGTTACAGACGTACAGAGGTTTCTTTGGAAATCCACAATCAACATCCTTGACTGCAAACGAGCTTCTCTGCTCAACCTTTCATGAACAGCCACAGTTGGCAAACACAGAGATTCATGAAGTGTAAATAACATAAATTGGGCATCTTTTAGGCCTCAAAAAGGTACAATTATAAAAATACCCAACAGTGTTATTGGGGGTGCTGATTATCAAAGCTGCTCATACTAGTAATACACGTAAATGGTTGATAGGATGTAAAGTTAGCTTCTGGTAGACATTTTGACTCTACTGTCCAACTGCAACAACTCATAAATGTTTTGAATCTGCGTTAACTTTGTACGAGACTACTGCCGCTGCTGCACAGTCCGTGTGGATGAAGACATGCTTGTGAAGAAGAAGGGGTAACATCGATTGAACTGACCTGGTTTGGGTTTAAGGGGTAAAGAGAAAAACATCCTCAGTAAAATATGCAGGGTAACAGTAAATTCATATCTGCGTTAATAGCTTAACGCTAGATCACTTTAATGCTGTTTGTTGTTTTTACACAAGATGAACACACGGGCTTCCAAACGTTTTGGACATCTGTTATTTAGTTTTAATGATTTTCCCTTCACAGTTTCAGCAGTTTCTCCCGTTTATTACAATGATCTAGTGCGAAAGCAGCTCCTCCGCATCTTTTAGGCCTCAAAAAGGTACAGTTATAAAAATACCCAACATTCCCTCCTGATGTGACTTTTTGAGCAAGAAAAGATGAAACCAATAAAACACATTATCATGAAATTATGACACACCTTACCAACCTGGAATTTGAAATGACCAATTAATTAATCGGATCTTAGTTCAACATTAAACCAGACATCAAAACCTACATAATATCTTGAGTTCCTAGCTTTATTAAGGTAACCCACATCATTCATCTCCAAAAACCAGACCATTACTCAATGCATGTAAAGCGCATTTCATAAAACCCAGAAGATGATTACATTTTAAGATGAGGAGCTGGACACGCGGATCTTCAGGCATCTGATCCTTTCCACATCTGTTGTTTCCTCCTGTGTTGTGAACCGTGGCTTTGTAGAACTGAACAGGTTTCAACATTTTTGTCACAGATGAAGCTGGCTGACTTGTGGTTTTGGGTCCCTCCTGAACTTGGTGTTTGACCCCCGCACCTCATCTCCAGCCCAGTCTTGGTCACAGACTGTGCTCTCAGCTCTTACATTGTCCTGCTGGCCAGAGGAACTTGTTGCATGATGGAATGCCACCTCGTTTTGAGCCAACTGATCCACTTTGGTTCGTGGTGTAACATCAGCTCACTCATGTTTTCGTGCCTCCTCCATCTTGGATTGCAGGTTAGCATCTCAGTCACTGGCCCCCTCCATCTTGGTCTGCAGGTTCCCACCTCCTTCTGAACACACCTACAAGTCACAAAACCACAGCAGGGTGCCACAGACACAGGCCAATTTGCATTCAGGCAGGAAGCCACTTTTCTCCTGAATCCTGCATACGTTCTTGGTTGCGGGAGGTGAGCGGAGGTCAATTCTGTTAATCGGAACCCACTGCAGGCCAGCCACAGTCTTTGTCACCTGCACATCGAGTTGCCACCGTCACATCACAGCAGGACACAAATCCTGTATCACCTGTTAATCGAGTTGCCCCCCATCACATCACAGCAGGGCACAAATCAAGGAGTCTTCCAGTCTGTCTTTGCCTAGGGAATAATTTGCATGTGGTTAGGAAGGCTAAAAACAGGAAATCATTGTAACCAAAGGTTGTGCTGAGTAATTGTCTAAATCAATAAACAATACTTTTCCCTTGGTGTCTGGTTTAGCATGAAAGTAGTCAGTTAGGTCATTACAAACAAATACATACAAATTTTTTATAACTAGCTTGTCTTAGAAAAGGAGTTTAATCATAGAGATTCTATCACACTAAGGCAGAGTTAACACACTCACGTCACAAAGGCTTCAAAGAGGTTATTCACAAGAGGGTGCCACAGAAAGACAGACTTCCAGTCTGCAGGGACTCTAGTCTGGCTACTTAGCGAACAAAAGGCATTTACATGTAATTAAAGGTGCTTTCAATCATTTTCTTTGGAGACAACTTTCCAGAATCAGCCCGTCTCCAGCTCCTTCACGGGAGTGTTACAACACAATTGTAGGGTAATCAAAGGGTTAAAACACCACTTTATCAGTTACACCACCCCCTCCTGTGGAGGTAGGCTTCTCACACATTTACAGGATCTAAGTTAATCAAAGGGAAGTCACTCAGATTTGTAGTGTAACCAATTTGTCAATTAAACCTTATAACCCAAACAGAAAATAAATGATGGAATAATAGCTCAAATGTTGAAATAGTTACAAAACAGCCTTACTGTTGAGTAAAATAAAATAAAGTTCTTGGGTCTACGATTAGCATTTATGGTCTGCAGGGGCTGAGTTGATATTTGCATTTCAAACAGACAGAAAAATCTAACACTGTGTTAATTCAATCACCATTTCATGTTATTAAATTAACCCAGTAACACCAGTAACTTAATCCATCAATGGTCGACAAGACACATTTAACGGGAAGCTTTTAAGGTTTATAAAAGATCTGAACACCCAAAAAAGTCAACTGAGCAAGGTCTGCTTATGGCAGGAACATCAAGTTTTAACATGATTTAGTCATATGA